TTTTTTTATAAAAATATGTTAACTAATGATATTATTATGAACAAAAAAAATTTAGCTTGCTTTACAAATTTAGTAATCAAAGTCTCAAATCACTTTAAATATAAATAGTATCGTATAAGGTTTTGACATCTTTAATAACTTCTGATCCTTAAATATTTTGTATCATTTTTTTTTTTAAATTATATTTAGGAAATTTAACTTCAATAGAAACACAATACTATTTGTCTCTAATAACATAATAATACTTTATTTTATTTTTTTAAGTGAAACTTCAAAAACGAGTGTCCGAAAAAAATAACGATTATCAATCAACATGATCGTCTTTAAAGTATATTTTATATTATAATTTGCACTGTATTATCAAAAAATCAAAGTAATATTATTAAAATGCATTAAATAATATAACTTAAATAAATTTGATTGTGTATAAAAAATTTTTGTAAAATCACAATAGATACAATTTTCACGCAATATCTTCATACGAAAGAAGTTTCACTTCATCCGCGTGTACTCATAACACGCACTGATTTTTTTTTAATTTCAAAATAGCCAATTTTAAACTTCAAAAAAAAAAAAAAAATTTTGTGGGTTGATAACGCCATTAAATTCTAATTGAATTATAATCATTATAATACATAGGTGGATGCGTAGTACTGTTACTCCACCTCAGCTACATATATAATCTGTTGAATTATTTCTAAATGATAATGATAAACTAAAAATTTAATTAAAATTTTGTTTTTGTTTTAGGGACAAATAACAAAAACACATTCTTTTAATTCAGATCAAAATTGTAAAATAAAAAAATAAAAATAAACAAAATATTTTTAATCATAAGTCTTTAAAGGTGTAAAATCTAGTAAAACACTGTTTAATGATTTGAAGGTTACTTAACTATCATACCTTTTTCTATTTGTAGTGCATTTATTTGATATTTATCAACGCAATTATGGAATTTTTGTTGCGCCATTTCTAAATTTTTCGATGTTAATTGATTAATAATTAAATTTAATGTGTTCTCATCAACTAATGTTGAAAATACAAGTCCCTATTTAAAAAAAAAAGTACAGGTTGATTGATGCATGTTAAAACCATATTGATTAATATTTNACAGGTTGATTGATGCATGTTAAAACCATATTGATTAATATTTGACAGTGGTCATCGTCAATATCATAAAATTCTTTAATTCACGTGTGTTTCAAGAGAAATTTTTATTTGAGAGATTTTTTTTCTGGAGTTGAGCCAGCAAAGTACGTTGTTACTATTTAATAAAAAATCTTACATAAAATATTTTATTGCATTGAAGTAAATTTAAATTTAACTATTTTTTAAAATCATTAAGTTTTTTTAAAATAATTAATCAATACACATATTAAGTACACAGTTATTTCAGAACATTATCAAAAATTTAAACAATATTATTTTATGAAAAATGTTGTAAAAGGCATAAAATGTTTATATCTTTAGCGGTAGATATTCTTGAAAAATGACAAGAAGACAATTTTTTTGAACTTAACGTACAAATAATAAACATTTATTTTATGTATAATAGAAGTTGTCATGATTTCTGGTAAATCTTAAAAAGAAATTAAACTCAGTTATTCATTGGAATCCAAAAAACAATTTGTTGATAAAAAGACAAATTATCAATAGTATTATCAATTATAATTTTAAATTCATTAATAATATCTTTAAATATTTAAAGTTATTTTAGATTGCAAAAAAATTCGAAATTGTTATAATGAACTATTGTATTCATTGATACTTATTTGTATACATATAATATATTGTATTTAAATATTGTTAAGGATAGAGTTGAATGATACGAATATGAATAATTATTTTAGTTTAAAAATAATGTGTGTTTTTTTCTTTATCTGTCCAAAGAATTTCTCAGCTCCAACTGGACTGATTAAAATGATTAATAAATTAGTATTTCAATACAAATTTTTTCTGCATTTATAAAATGCTATAGCTTTTTTTTAACATTGATCATAATTAAAATGCAATCATAATTAAAAGTTAATTAGGATCAATAAGATTTCTTTTAGAATACTCTTTATGAAAAACCAAAGAAAAATTTATGTATAGAAATTGTTTGAAATAGGCCCTCTATACATATGAAAAAAATTATTTTTCAACTTAATTTTTTAAAATGTTTCTGAATGATTGCGTCCTTGAAATCTATTTCAAATTAAAGCTTTTGAAATCTACAACAATATTTGAAAAAAAAAAATGTTTCCCGACTATTGTATTTCTATGAAATTTGTTTAAGTCAATGGTTGTTAAAGTAAAAAAAATCGTATTAAAAAAAAAATAGTTTCTCTTCAATTAAGGAAATATTTTAAATAAGTTAGATTTCAAAATACTTAGAATTTATAAATAGTCAAATTTTTGTGAATTTATCAGATTTGTAGCGATATGTTTTTTATGGTAGTGATATTACTAATAGTTACATAAAATCTATCTCAACTAGTCCCAACAATTTCCTCACTTTGACACTGCCTTACTGTATTGTTTTTTTTTACTTACAACACACAGAATTATTTGAAATTGCAAATACATTTTTTTTCCTTGGTGGTAGATCTAAAAGAAAATATTTTTTGATTTTATTAATTTATAATACTAATGTTTTATTGGAATTAATAAATAAAAAAGAATTTTAAGACACCACGGCAATTTTTTATTTTATAAAAACATTTTTTGCATGTCTAGAAATTTCTGGTCGGGAAGTGAAAACTTTCGATTGTTATTTTTCCTACGTAACGCTTGAAGCTCTTTTTTTATACGATCCGTATTATTATAAGCCTTAACAGTATTCATACGTCGGCACTGCTGACTTACTAATACTGTGAAGATACTCTTTAAGGTGGCCATTGCCTGACATCACTTATGGGAGACGGTAATTCATCTTACTATATCCATTCCAACCTGTCTAAATGACAGTGTCCAAAGAGGGATGTGATCCAATCAGCACTTGTTTTTGCCAAAAGTTGAGACCGCCATTGGTGTATGATCATTTGGCTGAAAGATAGCCGGTATTCACCCAAAAGAACCGTTAGCGTTTCCAACAGAGCTCATGTACGAGAGGCCGTTCATCGGTGAGTGGCAGTGACGACGGAATGTCTGTCGCCACTCCAGATACCGTTCGGTAAGTTGAATCACCGCCCGCTTCTGCTACCTAAGCAGGGTTGCCCTGTTTTTAGGGGAATACTCAAGAATATCCATCCAAACCGGAAACCTAAACAGGACGATTGAGTGCTCAACGCTAGTTAATAATCTGTTTCGCAACTCCCTCGAACACATTAGCCAAATAAAATTTGTGGAAAAAGAGCTGATTGAAATTATTGCTGTAAAAGAGGCTAAGACGAGATAATTTTTATGTTTAAAAATTCATTTTTTATTAAATTTTTATCTAAATAATTTATTTAAGGTGAACTTCTATATTTTTAAATTAGTTAAATTTTATTAAAAAAAAAAATGTTTTGTATAAAATATGTAAAATAGTAAAAAATGTTATACGAGTACAAGGGTATCCCATGAAAATATTTTTATTGCTTTCATAAAAAAATATGTTTAGGGCTTCGTAAAAAAATCTGCCTAGAGTCTCACAAAATTCTCATTGTCGTTGAAAAAAATTAACTCGATTCAAGTAAAATTGATTTTACAGTTTATGATTTTAATTATGTGCATTTCAGTCTCTCTATACGATAAAGAATCTTCATATTCACTACCAATTACTATGTACTAAAATCAAGTAGACATATTATTATATTAAAGGTCGCAGTAG